GAGCAGCTGTTGCAGCATCAGATACACAGATATGTTTTACTTGTAGAAATACGACACGCAACTCTGGAACATACCCATTGCAGCCACAGGTTATTGCGGCTGTGACATACTGCAGCTCTAGGGACACAGACTGTATATTCCCTTGTTGTCATTTTTAAAAGCCTCTGTTACGCATTTGTTCTCAATGACACTTTAAGCAGCCAGGGAGCTCAGACATGCCGACGTTTGCTCATGTGTTCTGGTGCATACAGATTCCTTTTTCCTTGCATTGCTGTGGCAACAGTAGTGACATGGGAGCAGCCTGGTTGGAGGCGTCTTTGGGCACCCGGTGTGGTGCTGCGGGTGGCCCTGAGGGAAGGGGGCTGCTCCGCCTGGTAGCGCGGGCTTGCAGCCCTGCTCCGTGAAGGGCTGCCCTGCGCCCCCTCCTCGGGCCCACAGTAATGCTGGAGCTGAGTGTGGCTGTGAAGTACAACAAGGACATCCTCCAGTGATCATGTCTCACGGGACATACTGCACCATGTCATTGACTGCCTTACAGGAAAGTCACATTTATTAAGAATATAAGTCTGGTTGGTTTTAAGTGTGCTTTCATTGCATTCACATTGAAATAAATTCCATGTCCCCCTGCTCCAGCCCTCAGCAATCAGCTTGAGACAAGAGAATAAGTTGAATTAAGTCTCTTTAGATCCTGAGCTATGCCCCTCCTCGTGTTCAAAATTGAATTCAGTGGATTCCCAAAGAACCATGCAACACCCATGCCACGAATTCCTTGCTCCTTCCGTGACTTGGGTTTAGGAGTCAGCATCACTCTAGGCTGAAACATAAGACAGGAACAGAAAGATTTTAAGCAGCAAAGGATAACAAGGAAATTACTAGAAAAGGGACAACCAGAAGGAATAGGGAGGATGTAGATTTTGCAAAAATGGTATGAAAGGTCTACCCTATGCTCCCAAATGAGACTTCAGACAAAGAAATCTGGGAACTGTCCTAACAGTGACCCTCTGTTTTATGAGCTCATGTTTTGTTATTGTGTTCTGCAGCATTCAAAATCCTTAGGTATGCTCCTATAATTGTCTGCCTGCTTAACAGCTCCACTCTCAGACCCTTTGTCCGCACATCCTTCTTCCCGCTCCCTCAGCCAGCTTTCCCTTCCAAGCCTCTCTGCCACCTTAATCTAATGAAAAGAGGCTGTAACAATTACCCTTCTCCCATGAGAAGGCTGGCTGAAGTTCTTGGAGAATTTATAGCAGAGATTGTCTCTCTGCTGTTTTTATATAACATATGTAGGCACAGAAGCCTATGCCAGAATGACAGCCCCTAATCACGCTCAGAAAATAACAACAACAAAGAAAGCCTTCCTCTCTCAAGGAAGAGACGGTCAGAAGATGTCTTTGGGACATTAGGTTTTCCTGTTGGGTGAACAACTGAACCCTTCCCAAGGCAGAGAACTCTCCAGCTCTGCTTGTGCACGTGCTGAGTGCCGCTCAGACCTCCCTCAGAGCGTCTGTGCAGCATGCTACTCACCCGGTGAAGAATAACAAGAGGAATAGAAAACAGCAGGAAAACATTGCAGGAACTGTTTGCAGAGCCAGTGCTGCCCAAAGGTGAACTCTGGAGGAATGGGCACCACCAGTCTTTGAAGTCAGATGCCAGCAAAGCTGACATCCAAGTGAAGGTTGTGAGGGGTGAGGAGGTAGGAGGTAGGGTCAGGTTTTCCAGTATAGTTATTTGTCTAAAGTACAGAAAGATACTTCCTGGAACGTTCAAACCATTTAGCTGCCCAAGTCGCAAAAGGGTGCTCCAGTGCATGGGCAGTACAGCAGGTGCCTAACACTGAGGCAGTTAGCGTAAGTATTATAAATATGTAAAAGCAGGGTCAAGAGAGCAAAAGGCCCTCTGAAAAAATATCAGGACCAGGAAGGCAAAGCTGTGTTTGTTTGATTTCTACCAGCAAAGCTACATAACTTTAGCAATAAGTTTACTAAACAGATTCTAGAAATAAAACACCCATCTGTACTAACTGCGTGGGATGTGATGGGAAGACAAGAAAAATCTCTATGTATAGTGCTAGTCACTATATCCAGCAGGTGAAATAGAGCAATCATTTGTCCTGCTATTAACCTGGCTGCTCTGTATGGACAGACTTGAGCAGCTAACCAGTCCCCTTGTTCCGGTCTTGTCTAAGTGGCAGTTCTCTGTGAACTCACTTCAATACAAGCAGTTATTCCTGCCATAGGCTAATCAAATGCTAGCACTCAGTATTTCAGCTGCTTCCTCTGACAGTGACTTTGAGTTGCTTAATGCATCTGACAATGATCGTTCTTGCCTGGAGCCATGTGAAATGCATTCACCAATCTCTGTGGCTCATTTACTGCTGGGGCATTTTGCTAGAGGCATTCAGTGGACAGAGTATCTTTCTTTTCTCCAGAGATGACAAATTACATGAAATACATGTGAGTTAATATATTTTAGTTTAAAAACCATTTGCCTTGACATTCTAGAGATTTACTTAAGGGTTGGAGAAGAATGTTTTCAGCTGAACCTGATTGGGATTAAACTAGCTGTGACAGATGCAACTCATCTGGGAGATGTGAAGAGAGGATAAAACAGGCTTTGGAAGGCACTGTAGAGTTTTTTTTTTTTTTTTTTTCTTTTCCTATTTGGGGAGCTTTCTAGTCTTTTATCTTAGTGAATGCCTGTCCTTTTCTACATCTCACTATGCCATCACCTATCCCTCTCAATCACTTTCTTCCTTTGGAGTTTTCCCCATCTGTGGATTTGCGACCCTGCAGCAGCCCCTTAGTGATCCCTGGTAGAGATGGAAAAAACTTCTTGGGAGGAACCCCTTCGTGCAGGATTCGCCGCCTGCCCCCACGCCTGGCCTGGTGCTCCATAGATTGGGACCAGCTCTGTCTCCTGCAGCCCCTAGGCTCTGGGGGCTTTGGCTCTGTCTACAAAGCTACCTACCATGGTGCTGTTGTGGCTGTGAAACAGGTGAAGAAGAGCAGCAAAAACAGGCTGGCATCACGACAAAGCTTTTGGGCTGAGCTGAACGTAGCCCGTCTGCAGCATGCTAATGTGGTACGTGTGGTGGCTGCCAGCACATGCACCCCTGCCAGCCAGAACAGCCTGGGCACCATCATCATGGAATATGTGGGCAACATCACCCTGCACCATGTAATCTATGGCGCTAGTGACGCGTGGAGGCAGGGTGAGGATGATCAAGCAGGATGTGGAAAAAAGGCCCTGAGCATGGAAGAGACTGTGTGTTATTCTTGTGACATTATGACTGGCTTAGCCTTTCTTCACTCGCAGGGCATAGTGCACTTGGACCTGAAGCCTGCAAATGTCTTCATCACTGAACATGGAGTGTGCAAGATTGGAGATTTTGGTTGCTCCCAAAAACTGGAGGATGGCTTGTCCCAGAGTCCCCAGGTTTGCCAGCAAGGGGGCACGTACACGCATCGTGCCCCTGAGCTCCTCAAGGGGGAGAGGGTCACTGCCAAAGCAGACATCTACTCGTTTGCTATCACCCTCTGGCAAATTGTCATGCGAGAGCAGCCCTACCTTGGTGAGCGGCAGTATGTCCTCTATGCCGTGGTGGCCTATAACTTACGCCCTTCTCTGGCCGCCGCAGTCTTCTGCGAGTCGCCTGTGGGCCAAAAACTTCAGAGCATTATTAGCTGCTGCTGGAAGGCCAATGTCGAGGAGCGCCTGAGCGCAGCCCAGCTGCTTCCTAGCCTCAGGTCACTTAAGGGCAACCTCTAGGAAAAATCTCAGGATTCTTCTCTTTTATTGTGGACTTTCCTTATGCCCCTGCTTCCACCTTCTACCTGAACATTATGAATTTAGCCTCTGTGATCTAAAGGCTTTGTTCCCCCCCCCCCACACACACATATTTTTAATATTAAAAAAAGAAATTGTTTTGTTATGAGAAGATTATAAATAAAGAGATCTAACAAAACTATTTTATTATTGTGGGAGGAAATAGAGGCAAGGATGAAGATGTTGGCAAATATGGTGCTTTTCTGGTTGTTCTGTTATGTGCTGTGCTGCTCAGGAAAAAATGGGGAATGTGGCATGCAGAAAAATAGCTGTTTTCAAATGAGTGGTGAAGTATAAAAAACTGCTGCTTCTAAAAAGTTCTTGGTACATAAGAACTTGGGTATTTCCAAAATATGATATATGCAGTACTTTAGACTTCCTGCATTTGTGCCTTTGAGCTTTTTCTCTTCATTTTCCAGGAACTAAGTACGCATCACAAAACAGTGGATGCACCAAAACAAATACAGTGTCTTTTTTTTTTTTAAAGATGTACTTAATTTCAGAAGTATATTGTTTCTGAAATAGAAAGTGCAAACTACCCAATCTCTCTTCTCAAATAAGGGGCCTTTTCATCTAAGGCTACTAAAGGTAAGAAGATGGAGAAATCAACAGCTTGTGCTTATATAAAACCTCTGTGCTGTTAGGTATCTGTCACAACTTGCTAGTTGGTATATTATAAACTATTGTAAACTGGTATATTGTCTGAAGTATCATAACAGTATCTTGTATGAAATAAGTTTCTAGGTTTTGGAGATACAGAGGGTGTTCTTTTTTTTTAAAAAAAAAAAAAAAAAGTAAAAACCATGAACTGAAAGTGCGATATGTAAATACAAAACCCTCCCCTCTTGAAAGGGGGCAGAGGGAAGAGATTACTCGCCCTTCTGATCCTTGATCTATCAGAAATGATAATTACAGATCTGTCTATATATCAACCCTTATCCAGAACTACAAAGATCTGGCTGCTGTAGTTTGGATTGCCATTCTGCTCAGAGACTCCCCTCCTTTTTAAGATGGGAGAAAGAGTGATGTTTCACTTAAATGGGTTTTCCTTTCCACTTCCCACCTCATACTTTCATTCTGAGGAGAAAAAAAAAAAACCCACATGGAATTGAGCCAGTTTCTTGATTTCTGACATGCATCTGTTCTAGCTCCGGGAAACCCTGAAATGAATGACTTGTGTGAATTTGAGATGATTGTGTATGTCTTTATGGTATTTAGGCTGTTCATTGGAATTAATGCTTTATAAAGCTTAACTATTTCTTGCTCTTCAGTCCCTTTTAAGCAAGACTATAAAATGCCTGCTTGAATCAAATGTGAGGTAAATGTTAGAATAGATTTGTGCTTTCTCCTTCAAAATGATGATGCTAGAGAACAAGAAAGTAAGATTTTCACATTGCATAATTCTTTTAATAAACTAGAACCATCTTATAAAGTTGTTATGATAAGCCAGCTGCCTTTTTAAATGATTAAACAGAGGGCATTTAAAATAAAATGTCAGATAAAGCCATCGATGTGCCTTACCTTAACAGCAAGGCTTAGTGATGTTTCTCTGTTCTTATCAGTTGTATTGTATTTTGTCATTCTAGAAAGCTTATTGCTTAAACTGCTAGAAACTTGGTGGGTTTGGGGGCTTATCTAGGCATGCATTTCTACTGTCCCTTATAAGTCAATAGAAACTATTCTATTAACGATATATCAAAATGGATTCTTGTTATCCTACCAAGATATGTGAAAGACATGTTTATACCTATTGCTTCATAAACTTGCATTGCTTGAATATTGGTTAAAAGATTAATTGGATCTTCTCTCTGGAAATTTTCTTTTCTTATTGAAGTCTATCCATTCAATGGACAGAATTTTGCATCAGAAATGGTAGTGATAAACCCTTTCCTAATCTTTTTCCCCAGTGTCCCACTAAAATGTCACCTACCTACTTCTAACAGCGTAACTGCAATTCAGTCTACTAGACTTGGCCTTGAAATATGTTGCCAGTCAAATAACTTGAAAATTCAGATTCCTAACATTATCATAAAACTGTCAGAGAAATTGCATACTTTAATTTTTCCCTTGTGACATAACAAATGCATTAGGGATATGTTGAAGTAAAGACAGGCGTGGAGTTAGACTAACCACTGCTTATATATGTGAGTATCTTAATATGCTTGGGATACAGTTGTCTAATCAAGCAAGCCAAAATGACAATTACTGTGCTATCAAAGCAGAGACTGACAAAAGTTCTTCCTGAGCAGTGCAGAACTAATGCTCAAGTTAGAAACTTTAGCCATGAAATACCTTTTAACGCAGGAATTGGTAACACTGTCTCAATAAGGAGAAATAAAATATTTGAATAGTTTGCAGCCAGATAGAAGGGCTATGGTAGATGAGGTCTATGGAGAAAGTAAGACACAAATGCAGAAGAGTTTAGCTCCTGTCTCTCCCCCAGAGAGGTTAACAGATGCACTGAAATCTCAATAAGCTCCAAATTTCTTTCAACAATGGAAGTCAAGTGTTAGGCTTTGAGCTGAAACTTACTCCCCGTGGAAGTTAACTTTCAAGAAGCTCTAGCAGATATTCTCAAACTAAATCTACTTAGTTGTTCTTGACTTCAGAAGGAAGTGCTATGCTTTCTCATAGTAGCTAACTGGTTGAGCTTTGGAGGCCTGGGTGAATTTAACGGCTATCTACCTCTGGTTTGACTGCTTTGTATAGCATAGCTGTTGAAATATTCAGGGAATGCTTTAGCATCAATAAAGTCTCTGTGGCAAAATCAAGCTTCCTTCACAGTTGGTGTTATACTTGAACAGAAGACTATTGGGTGGCCAAGACCCACCCTCGCAGTGTAATCAGTTCTGCAGATGTCTGTCAATTTTGTTGGATGCTCTTCTGAGATGAGAGTGTAAGAATTCTGTGCAGTGGAGTTGAGATATTGGCCCATCATCTACTGTCACAAGTGTTCTCTATTTTTTAGTAACTTATTTAATAATTTCTAACGTTTGCTTTGATCTTTTTGACGGCTACTGAGCACTGATTTCATACTAATCAAGAAAGATCTCAGGCCTGATAGGTCAGAATCCATCCTTTTATATGTGATAAGGATTGTTTTGCCTGTTTGCATCACTTTACATCAATCTACCTCGAATTTCATTCTGCCAATTTGTAGTTGGCCCTTGCCCTTACCGTCCTGAATAATTTTATTATCGGCAAACTTGCTTCTCTTACGGCTTACCCTCTTGAACTTCTTTCATCGATGTGTTGAACGCAGCACCCTGTGAAACACCAGTAATGGAGTTTGCCTAGGTGAAAGAACTGACATTTTACTTTTACCCTCTGTTCCGTCTTTTAGCTTATGCAGTCCAGGATTTTCCCTCTTAGACATGGCTGTAAAAGTTCTCAGTGAAAGATTTTTTTCAGAAGTCCTTTGAAATCCAAGGGGAACATATCAACCAGCTCCTTATCTGCATGCTGTTGACTCTCTAGAAGACTCCAATACAATTAAACACAGTTGTGAAGCACAATTCCTTTCGACAAAAGCAATGTTGACTCCAAGCAAATCGTATCTATGTATGTGACTGTTATTTCCTTTAATATAGTTAATGTACCTGATTCAGATATTAATTTAATGAGTTGATAGTTTATGATTCTCCCTAGAATCTAATTAACAAAGGTCTTTTAAAAGAAAAAATCATATTTGCTCAGCCCTTTGGTAACAAAGGTGTTTTAAGTGAGGTTTCATAATAGCATTACTAAGGCAGCATCTATTTTACTCTTTTGCTTATAAAAACGAGGTGAATACTGCCTAGTACTGGCATTCTATTACTGTTCACTTCTCTCATTAGTCCACAGTCAACTGGAAGAAGCCCCACATTTCCGGGCCCTGGTCCTAACTTTAACCACCCCAAAAGCTGCTGGAAGAGCAGCACAGCAGGGCATAAGTAGTCCAGGTGATCGCTGGAGTGCATTGTGTGCCTGCTGACACAAGCGGTTGAGAAGTTGACAAGGGGAGATGCTCTTTTGGACCTCATACTTACAAGTAAGGAAGGACTGGTTGAGGATGCGAAGGTCGGGAGCCGTCTTGGCTGCAGTGACAATGACATTGTGGTACCCAGGATCCTGAGAGGAGGGAACAAGGCAAATAGCAGAATTGCATCCCTGGACTTCAGGAGAGCAGACTTCAGCCTGTTCAGGGACCGACTTTGCATCCCAACAGGCAGGAAGTCAAGCAAAGGCATCAGGAAGTTTGCATGGATGAACAAAGAGCTCCTCCTCAAACTCAAACATAAAAAGGGCACGTACAAGAGGTGAAAGCAGAGTTAGGGTCAGCCAGGAGGAATATAGACACATTGTCTGAGCATGCAGGGATGGTATTAGGAAAGTCAAAGCCCATCTCAAACTGAATCTGGCAAGGGATGTGAAGGACAGCAGGAGGGGCTTCTACAGGTATATCGTCAGCAAAAGGAAGACTAGGAAAAAAGAGGGCCTACTGCTGAACGGGTCAGGGGACCTGGTGACAAAGAACATGGAGAAGGCTGAGAAACTCAGTGCTGCCTTTGTCTCAATCTTTACTGGTAAGACTGGCCTTCAGGGATCCTCTGAGACCAGTGGGAAAGTTTGGAGCAAGGAAGATCTCTCCTTGATAGAGGAGGATGAGGTTAAGAAAGATTTAAGCAAACTGGGCATATATGAGTCCATGGGACCTGGTGGGATGCACCCACAAGCACTGAGGAAGCTGGCTGATGCCTTTGTAAGGCCACTGTTGATTATCTTTGCAACAGAGTGGGTGAGGTTTCTGAAGACTGGACAAAAGCAAATGTCACCCTTATCTTCAAGAAGGGCAAGGAAAAGGATATGCAAAACTACAGGCTGGTCAGCCTTACTTTGATCTCTGAGAAGGTGATGGAGCCAGTAATCTGGGAATTGTTTCCATACTTATTAAGATGGTGATTGAGAGTAGTCAGCACGGATTTATGAAGGGGAAATCATGCATGAGCAACCTGATAGCCTTCTACAATGAGATGACTGGCTTTTTTAATTAGGGATAACAGTGGTTGCTATCTCAGGCTTATGAAGGCTTTCCACACCGTCTCCCATACCATCCTCATAGATGAACGGATAAAGTACAAGCTAGATAAATGGAGAGTGAAATGGACTGAAAACTGGCTGAACTGCTGGGCTCAAAGGGCTGTGATCAATGGCATGAACTCCAACTGGAGGCCAGTCACTAGTGGTATATCCTGGGGGACTGATACTGTAGCCAATACTGTTTAACATCTTCATGAGTGACCTCACTGATGGAACTGAATGCATCCTTAGCAATTTTTCAGATGATACAAAATCGGGAGAAGTCATTGATACACCAGATGTTTGTCCAGAGGGCCTCAACAGGCTGTAGAAGCCAGCTGACGGGAATCTCCAGGAGTTCAGCAAAGGGAAATGGAGGAATAACCCCATGCAGTGGTACAGGTTAAGAGCTGTCTGGCTGGAAAGAAGCTTGGCAGAAAAGGTTCTGGGGCTCCTGGTGAACACCAAGCTGAATGTGAACCAGGAAGGTGCCCTTGCAGCAAAGAAGGTCAACAGCCTTCTGAGCTGCATTACGAAGTGTTGCCAGCTCATCCAGAGCATTGCCAGAAGTGATTATTCCCCTCTACTCGGCACTAGTGAGACCACATCTGGAGTACTGTGTTCAGTTTTGGACTCTACTGGAACAAGCAAGACATGGATGTACCGAAACAAGTGCAGCAAAGGGCCATTAAGATGATCAAAGGACTGGAGCATCTGTCATATCAGGAGAGGCTAAGAGAGCTGGGATTGTTCAGCCTCGAGAAAAGACTTGGGGGGAGGGGGATTTAACCAATGTGTATAAATAGGTATTTATGGGAATGAGAGGGGGTAAAGAAGACAAAACCAGACCCTTCTCAGTGAATGGACTAGAGACAGTAAGCACAAGCGGGAATACAGGAAATTCTATTAAAAATAAGAAAAAAATTAGTATGAGGATGGTTGAACACTGGAACAAGTTGCCCAGAAAGGCTGGGAAGTCTTCATTTCTGGAGATATTCAAAACCTAGTTGGACATGGTATTGAGCAACCTACTCTAGGTGACTCCGCTTTGAGTGGGGGGGGGGGGGGGGACTAGACGTTCTCCAGATGTCTCTTCCAACTTCAATGATTCTGTGATTCCACAGTAACATCAATAGTTGTTTGAATTTCAGACATTTCCTGAGTCGTCCTACAAAAATGTTTCTAGCATGGGACTGTTCTCCAGCATAGCATAAATAGCATAAATGCAAGGAACACGCTTTGATTCTTTGCAACGGCTTTGTTGTCTTTGAGGTGTTGGGGGTGAGAGGGCGGAGCCCTTCTTGCTCCAGTTCTGAATTCTGTGTTCATCCAGATTTTTCCCTAGGTCTGTCTAGAAGCTGGTTTTGTCCATTATCTCTTTTTCCTTATTTGTATTTAATACAGTTCCAGATGGTTAGTAAGATAAGGTTGTAAGTCAGGAAAGACTTTAAGGGTTACGCATCCCTGATTTATTCTCTTCATTCCTGGAACTGATTGCCAGCAGGTGATCAGCCTAGACAGAAGATCTAGTGAAGGCCTGGAGAAAGTGCTACAACCAGGTAATTGTAGTTTATTAACATCTTCCAGTGCATTCTGAGCTGGAAATACTTGTGAAGCCAGTGCTGAGGATTCTTTGGCTGGCTGCCCCAATCATCTAGCCAACCATTTCCAGTTTTGGGGGAGAAGGAAGGGAGGGGCGTTGTTTTTTACTCCTGTCTATGACTTCTGAATGAACTAAAAATGTGTGGTGATGGAATGAAGGCCCGGAGCATAGGAGCCAATATCTGTGTGACCTTGCCATGATGCGAAATTTCAAAGGGGACTCGCTTTTTCTGTGGACTAAGTTCTTGCCTTGGCGGGGTTTCCATGTCAAAAGGAGGCAGCTGTCCAGGTCTCATGAGAATGATTTAGGCGGGGAAAGAGGGGAGAGACTAAATCTGTTAGAAAAGATGCATAATGAGTTTGGCTGTACTAGCATTCTTGTCCTAATCAGCTCTGTAGGATCTATCAAATTCTGAAGTATAGGACTCAATGTTGCACAGATTCGCATGAGGTAGTATTAATGTAAATCTAGCCCAGTGGTATTTTAATGTGTCTGTAAACAGTGCCCTCTAGCCTTCTGCCAGCCATATACACTCTACTCACTGTACAAGTCCTCTGATGCTAAGGCAGGACAGAACAGGCTGGACCTCCTCAAATAAGAGTGACTGCACCTTGAGTGTGCTCTTAGGGAAGAACAAAGCTTCATTTGTCCTGACTGGTAAATGCCAGATCTCTTCATGTCTTACCAATACACTTGCTTTTGTAATCAACTAAGTGCCACAGTTTGCCACAGTCCACCGTGTCCCCTTCTTCCCCTCAAATGGGTATGTGGGAAACTTCACAGGATGTAGTTAAGAAAGAGATTTTTAGCTAACACTAAATGAAATGAATCTCCAACTAAGAGCCTTCCTAATTAGTGCTGAAATGGTTTTACATCAAAACTAAATTACTTCTCTTCATTCTAAAAGACAATATCCATGTGCGCTCCAGAGTTCTGTAAAGTTGTCAAATTCAAAAATTATCTTAGTGGTCAAGTGGTAGAAGGAAGACAAGAAAAGATGGCTACAAGTATGGGAACTGTACAATTATAGTAACAAAAATAAGTTTCTAAGAATGAGAAAGAAAAAAAAGAAAAAGCAAGGATTTAGAAGTGTAATTTTATCCCTCTGTCTTACTTTTGATTTACTATCCTATAGCTAGTACTGAAGGTTTAGTGTCTTTGGTTCCCAAAAAGAAATGTCAACGGATTAAGAATTGAAAATTGAACTTTCAGTTCTCAGTAATATTCATAATCATTAAAAAATAAATAAATAAAAAGGTAAGCATATGCTACAATTCTGATGCTACTCAGACTTCTTTTTGGGGGGGAGAGAATCATAAACACACTTCCTAAGGTGTGTGTGGGGGGGTATCTCTTTCACTTTTACATGGCTTCTGGCTTCCGCACAACAAGAAGTCTCTATAACTCTACCCTTAGCTTGTTCTGTTGTTTGCTTCTCTTTCCTTGGAGGCTTTTCTGTGTCCACTTACTTCATATTCTCCATTTTGCTGTTTGCTAGTGTGATGCCTTATCTCAGTCTAAAGAAAGAGAGAAGCAACAACACTATCTTCCGATGATTAAAAAAAAAAAAAAACTCTCTAATTTGGAGCTGTAGGCATCCTTAATGCAAAGGGTAGGATGGGAAGACATGAAGACGATGTCTGGGTTGTTTCTGTATTCTATGGGAAGATATGAATTACTAATGAATTACCAGACCTTTATGAGGTAGACTGTGTTTCATATAATTTACCACGTTTCATATAATTTACCACAGAACTCAAATGTAAATAATTTCAGCAATCATGTAACCCAGGCTTACTTTAAACTGTGTACTACCTTCATATCTTTTATGGTTATAATCTAAACATAGGCATCTAAATTCATTCTATGAAGTTAAAACACCACCACTGCAGAATTCTACAAATATTTTTAAATTCAGTAGGACTACTCTGATGATTACTATTTGACTTATATATCAATTTTTGTAATATTAGCATCTGAGTTTATAAATTCATCACTAGAACTCAGGTGAAAAAGGGGGTAAAAAAGTGATTTTAAACATTAACTTGGCTTTGGACTTTTTACTTACACTTTATTTTAGCTATTTATCTGCTACAAATACCCTATGCAGTGTTAAAAGAGTCTCTTTTTATGCTTCAGTAGACCCAGCTGCCAAATATTTGTCTGCCTGTCAAACAAAAAGACTTAAAACCAGCTCAAGAAAGAAAATAGAACAAAAAAAGTCTGCTGGCACCTATCCCAGTATTGCATCAGCTAAGGATGTCATCAGACAACGTGATAGTAGAGGCACCATCAGATCCTGGACTTCCCAGAGCACGTGGTTGAGATATTATGCTCCCTATCCAACCTGAGGTTCAATAGCCTGAGTGTTCAGCAAAACAGGGGGGTAACTGCATTTACCTTTGCAGGGCACCTGGGATAATAGGATAATTCATAACTTAATATTCTGCTGCACATGTGCCAGGCTACAAAAAGCAAAGTAGGCTGAAAATTGGAAAGGTGAACATCCAGCTCTTCTTAAGTTACCCTCCCCGAGAAGGGTGAGAGGAAGAATGCTTGTACTTTCAAGCCTTGTATTTCGCTCAACCATTTACTTCAAAAATAGTGAAAAGGGTTTGACTTAGGTATGCAACAATGCAAATATGCAACTCAAATGTGCAACTGGCCTCAGAGATGCGTATGGAAAGTTGCACCTGAACACAGATATTTAAAAAGCTGATTATAAATATGGGAATAGATACAGTGTGGATGCTGAATTTTTTTAAATAGTAGTTAATAGTACATGTTATGTAATACAATATGTTTAGAGAGATATCATACATGGTTTTTTGGCCACATCCTTGTCTCCCTGTTATCCAGCAGCTCCGTTTAAATGATTTGCAGATTACACATGTCTACACCCAAAGCTTTTGAAGGAACGTATCATTGTATTGCTACCCCAGTGGATCAATGTTACCTGAATCTTTTTGTATATAAAGTAACAGAACTTTTCCGGATTTCACTTTAAGTGGTCAATGCTTGTATAGCTTTTGGAAATGAACTGATTGCTATTAGATGTTTTCTAATTTAGAGCAAAGAAAAAGGATATTCTTTAAATGTAATTAATCATTCCTGTC